TCCACCAAGTTTGCTATACTTTGTAGCTGCTTGGCAGTTGCTTGTAAAAGATCCATCCACTTGCAACTTGTTCAGCAAGCTTTACTGGTCAACAACAGCTTGTATGCAGCTAAGCGGAATTACTCTACTGTCATTTATAGGTGTATATAAACACACTACATTATCTCCACCAAGTTTGTTTTGCTGAAACAGCTAGATCAACACCTGATTGTGCAGTTGTGTGCAGACAGTTCATGCCCGATTGTGCCACTGTGCACAATCGGGTATAAGTACTGTACCTACCCAATGTAGATTAGATGTCTCAAGCATGCAAAGAGCTCATGCCCGATTGTGCCACTGTGCACAATCGGGTATAATGCCTGCAGAAAGAGTTTATGCCCGATTGTGCCACTGTGCACAATCAGGTATAAGTACTGTACCTATCCAATGTAGATTAAATGTCTCAAGCATGCAAAGAGCTCATGCCCGATTGTGCCACTGTGCATAATCGGGTATATCAGTGTTAATGTTCCTGTGTTATTTATCATCCAGCTTCATTACCTTTGCTTATTTCCAAGTTGTGCATGCCATAAGGCACCCTCTAACCCAGAAAGGACCTCTGTTTAGAGGGTATAATCCTCTTTATCTGGTGGCGAGAAAGAGGAGTTTGGTGTGGAAAAAAGTGATGATGAGGTGAATATGTGTATTTGCTGTCGTAAAGTTTACTGCACTAACCACGTATTACAGGTTGTTGCTGTTGCTGTTTATCGTGAAGCCAACCCTCTCCTTCCAAATGCTAACTTTGACAACAGCCAATCATTCACGCTGTCCATCTCCATTGACATCCACGAAAGAGAAGAGTCAGAAGATGGAGCTGTCACCAATGCAGTCATCGCTGATGAAGAGTCAGACATTGCTGCTATTACTCTAGCGCAGAATTCCTTAGATTTATTGTTGACAGTATATATATGTCCAAGTCATTACTACTATGTACTGTTGACTAACCTAACAAATCTACACCACAGGCCGACAACTTGGGTCCTATTGCGGATTCAAGTCAGAAGACATCAAAGAGTGACAATAGAGTGCACAAACAAAAGTCTAAGCATGACGACAAGGAGAAGGCAAAGAAGAAGAAGAAGAAGACAGCTGCAGAACTTGCAGCAGAAGACTGCGAGGTAGGCAGACAGTTCTTGGCTTGATCATGCACTTACACAAATGAATAGCAACCATGCTTTGAGAACTTCATCAACACCACACCGGCCGTAATTACTTTTGCTACTGGTGGAGCAGTAGCCCTCGCACCAGTAAATGGTTATCCTACAGCAGGAGCACCTACAAAACAAACAGCAAACAACCTCGTTGGATGGGAGACAATGGTTCACCTGCAGAAGAGGCTTGAGTACATGATTAATAGCCAAGGCACTGCCTGCCTGAACTTCAATAATCAGCAGATGCATATTGCTAACCTTCTCAGGCAGGGCATGTTGCATCTAAGCTGCAACATGGCTTTCGTACAAGGTAGGACTTTCTAAGTTCTGTGTATAGCCACTTCTGACCAATGTTGTAGGTATATACCCTGCCAATCCCTGCTTTGTCATCCAGCGTGACTTCCTCATTAGGAAAGCTGAAGAGCGCAGTTTGAACAAAGTCGCTGCGTGGTTGCGCAACTGCATTTACTATGCCCGGGACCTTGGAGACTTGGTAAGGCTATGTCAGTTTCTGCCATTGTTGTAATGCTCAGCTGTTGCTTAGTGCAAGCAGTGCAACACTCTTGCCCGTGGAGGTATGAAGGGCATTGCAAATATTGGATGTGCTGTGGAATATGGCCTTGACACTAACAAAGCTGTTGACACGCAGCTGCATGTAGGTAAGCTTGTCAAGGACCTCGTGTACATTTACCCTGGAGATATCATGACGGTACGGTGGTGCATTGAGCATGTATTCGTAGCTAATCACTTGTCACAGGAGCATATTGATGGCTCTAACCCGTTCAAGCATCCGCTAATCGCCTGAATGATTTGGACCCATTTCTTCAAGTTGATGCGCAGCAAGATATCAATCACCGTGTATGCACCAAAGCGCTTCACGTCAAGCATGCATCCTACACCGCCGTCGTGTACGTAACTGACGGTTTACAATCAAAATGATCGAACAAACGCCTGACTGGTCTGATGCTACTCGGCGGACAGCCAGGAGTACAGGCGCGAATTCAATTTGCTAACCGTTAAGTCTCTATTTGTGCCTGACAGGCTAGCCGTTCGCCTAACAGATTCCTGAGCGTGAGGAAACGAGCTCTTCCAACTTGCAACCGTAGCTACGAGCCTACTTCCTGCTAATAAAATATTGGAAGCTTCCTGAGGGCAGTAACTAACCTTACTTGCATCTTTGTTGCATCCAAAATATTTTTCTCGCCACGAACGAAGGATGTGTCCAATGAAACGACTGACTTTGCGAATGCTTCAAGCCTTTGAGCCGGGGACAGCTTTGAACTCCGCTGATGCTCGGCATGCATCGGCATTCCCTCGGTGTGGTTCAAGCGCTTCTTGTCTGCCACGTCTCTTCCTCTCCCATCCTCCATTCACTTCGCGTATACCTTCACTGTATCTTCCTTAAGCTACGGTACAAATCAGGTTGTGCTACAGCTCAAGGAGTAGCTTCCTGATTGATATGTCCTTTGGTTCAGCA